TGGCTCTGCTGTTTCAATCCTGCCATGTGGACGACGACTCGATCTCTGATCATTCCTACTTGATTGGTCATTTCCAGGGAGATCGTGACGCCTTGGATCGGTTTGTTTGGCCCACCCCTGACCCGATGGAATGGACTGATCCTTCTGTTCGTGCTTGTGTCTCTCAACAGCTGTTTGTCCCTGGTTGCAGCCTGGATTCCGACTATGAGGCTTTTTGGCAAGAGGTTGAATCCCACAATAACACTGCCCGTCTGCGTCAACTGAAACCAGTGGTCCGAGCTATGACCGGCCGTGGTCGCCAACAAATGCCCCAACGTCGACATGGCCAGCTTGCCCCCACCAAAACCAGCCGACCAGGAGATCGGCAGCCTGCCTTTCTTGGTACCTGCATCCAACATGCCCAGTGGCTTAAGCAGCTGCGTCGCCTTCAATCGTATGTCCGTCTTTCCCGCTCCGGTGTTGCCTCGGCTGCTCACAGAGCCCACCAGTATGGTCTTTGGACTGCCATCTTGCGTTCACCTGGGTTCTGTCCGTCCTTCCCTGATTGGTGGTCGCAGCGTTCCCTTGCTGTTGGTGATCCTGCGTTTGTTCCTGTGACGCCCCCGGACCAACATGTGGCTTGGTTGTTCTATGCCGGTCTTGAAATGGACTTTGAACAGCTTGAAAAATCGCTTCGCACTGCTCGTTCGCATGCTCACAGATTGGCCAAAGCTTCGGACGTGTCTGCCATGTACCGCTCTGTCCAACGTGATGCTCCTGTGCAGGTCGATTCCCTTGTTGGCGTCAAATTTGCCTCTGTGATGGAAGTCGATGAGGATGAATGTGCCGTGGTGACTGACAAAGTTGTCGATTGGAATCTCGACGCCCCTTTGGCTCATCGATCAGGCCCTGTCTCTATCATTCATGCTGAAGAGGACAAGGTGTGGGTTGATTCTTGTGGGGGCTTTCAAGTGGGTGATAGGCTTTCACAGTCTTCCTTCACCACTGCTCTTCCTGCGTTGTTTGATGCTTTCGAAACCTACTGGTCTGGACTTTGGAACAAACATGTGGCTGTCCCGGACTCTCAGTGGGACGACATTGTGCGGTTTGCGACCTCCCAATTGCGACCACTTACACCTTCACGACCCACGTTCTCCGTCAACTCTATCCGCAGATGCCTGAAGCGCAAATCTTCCAGGTCTGCCACTGGGCTCGATGGAGTCTCTCGTTTGGATTTGTTGGCATTGGGAGACGCAGACCTTCAGCTCCTCTTGCGCACTCTTTCCTGTGCTGGCCAAACTGGAGCCTGGCCACAGCAAGTCCTGAATGGGTATGTGCGGTCGTTGGCCAAAACGGAAGATCCATTGGAGGTCGGGCATTACCGCCCTATAACTGTTTTCTCACAATGGTACAGAGCCTGGAGTTCCATCTCAGCTCGACATTGGCTTGCACAACTCTCCCAGGTGGTGGATCCTTTCTTGTGTGGCAATGTGGTTGGATGTCGGGCTGGAATGGTTTGGAGACATGTGTTGGAGCAGGTTGAAGCAGCCCACCGAGATCAAACTCCAATTTGTGGCTACTCTGCAGACATCGTCAAGGCTTTCAATGTCCTACCAAGGCGACCGGTTTTCATCGCTGCAAAGCTTCTTGGCCTTGATCAGGCCACTTTGGTTGCTTGGGCCGGTGCTCTGAGTGGCTTCGTCAGGCACTTTGTGGTCCGCGGCTCTGTTTCGCCGGGAGTGGATTCTCATAATGGTTTTCCTGAGGGGTGCGCCATGTCTTGCGTTGCCATGTTGCTCCTCACGCAACTCTTCCACAAATGGATGGTGGCCTGCAATGCCATGTTCCGGCCTGTTTCGTATGTGGACAATTGGGCTGTCTTGCTGCACAACGTGGACCATATGCGCCAAGCCACTGAGGCTGTGGACCGCTTTGCAGATATGCTCCAAGTCCAGCTTGATGCCAAGAAGTGCTTTGCTTGGTGTTCCCATGCTGATGGCCGCAAAACCCTCCGAGCCCAAGGCTTTCGGGTTCTTCTTGGTGCCAGGGAGTTAGGTGCACATGTGGTTTACACAAGGCAGCTGGCCAACAAGACCGCCGTGGACCGCTTCAAATGCCTTGATGACTTTTGGGCCAAATTGACCTCCACTTGGTGCACCTTCCGCCAGAAACTCCTGTTGGTTTCCCGTGTCGCTTGGCCGAGGGCAATGCACGCCATTTCTGCTGTTGTTGTGGGCCGGAAACATTTTGAGAGTCTTCGTACTCAAATGATGCAGTCCCTCCATCTTCAGAAGCCAGGTGCTAACCCGGTGCTGCAATGTGGCCTCGAAGGCCTTACTGTGGACCCCCTGGTCTTTGCTGCCGTTGAAACTTTTCGTGATGCTCGTGCGTTAGGAGTGGATTTCAGTGTCGTCCATGACTTGAATGCTGGCCCTTTTGGCTGTGATGAACCACAGTTCAATTCTCTTTCTGAGATTCTCTGTCAACGGCTCCATCAGGTTGGCTTTACCCCTCACCCTCATGGGCTTGTTGCGGATTCTGTTGGTCTGTTTCGGTTCTTGGAGTGTCCCTTTGGTGAGCTGATGCAGCGCTTGCAACTTGCCTGGACTTCAATCATGGCAGTCCACGTCCAACATCGGCCGTCTTTCCGTGGATTCCAATGTGTTGATGTGGCCTTGACAAGGAAAGCCTATGCTGAGCACACCCCGTATGACCAAGGCATCCTGCGAAAGCACCTGCATGGTGCTACTCTCACCAATGCCCATGCCCAGCACTGGTCTGACAACCGCAGCGACCTTTGCATCAAATGTGGTTCCTTGGACTCTTCTCGACACCGGCTTTGGGAATGTCCTGCCACACAACATTTCCGTGATTCATTGCCCCTTGACTTTGTTGCCGCTGTGCCCTCCCTTCCTGCTGTGGTGACTGAACACGGCTGGACTTGGCGCCCGTGTTTGGCCAATGCTTGGCTCAAGTACTTGGATTCCCTTTCCTGCGATGTGGTTTTCCAGCCTTGTGGAGCCTTGCCGTCGGTGCTTGACGTCTTCACTGACGGCTCCTGTTTGTTCCCTACCTGTCCGTCCTTGCGTGTTGCCTCGTGGGCTGTCGTCTTGGGTCTTCCTTTTCGTTTGGACTTCAGTGCCCTCGACTTTCAACCGCTTGCTGGTCAGCCGCTGCCTGGCTTGGTGCAAACTGCCTACCGAGCTGAGCTGTACGCAATCATGACAGCTCTCAAGTTCGCTGTCAAGGTCAAAAGAGGTATTCGGATCTGGACTGACTGCCAGAGTGCCCTGGACGCCTTTGCCTCACACGTGCGTGATGGGATTCCTGTACGTGCCAATTCCAAGCACTGTGACCTCCTGTTTGCCATCCAGCGCCTTGCCTCTGAAGTTGGATTTGGCTGCGTTGAAGTTCTCAAAGTTCCTGCACACGCTCCGCAAGAAGCCTTTGACAATGATCTTGAGCGCTGGCTGGTTTGTGGCAATGGAGTTGCTGATCGGGTGGCAAAGGCAGCCAACACGGCGAGGGACCCAACCGCCTGGTCATTGTGGTCGGCCTTTTCGGAGCAGCTTGAACTGTGCCAAGAGCAGGCCACGTTAGCTCGGTCTCACATCCTGGCCGTTTCCAAATTTTGGAGCGATGCTGCAGAGACACCAATGCCGGCAGTGCCTCAAGTTTCCAGGCCCATGAGGGTTGCCAGAACCACCCCTGAGCTCGTGTTGGAGATGCCCCAGGAGTTAGCCCTGTCTGGCTCGGCCTTTCGTCGGTTCTTCGGTCTGGACTTGTTTGTCTGTGTCTCCCGATGGATTTCACGCATCCGTGCACCCGAAGCCGCCCTGCAGTGGATTTCGTTTCACCAGCTGTACATCAGTTTCCAGAAACGTGAAGGTCCCATCCATGTGTTCAAGGTTGGTGGTCAATGGAAGGTGGAAACTGGTGCTGTAGCTTCACTCTCCAACCACCAGAAGTTGGGTCCAAGAGTGAAGTACTTCCGACTGATGCTCCAGCAGTTTTTGAAGGACTGTGGTGTCCGCTTTGTGACAGCAACTGTGCGCCCGGCCTCTCAATGGGTCTGTTGTTTCAAGGGTTCGTTAGCGTTTGGGATCACTCCTGAGGAGTACAGTTTTGTGGAGGGCTTTTTGGCGTCACAGTTGCTGGAACCTTCATCGGGTTCTGGGAAATCCCTGGACCGGCTCCGACTTTAGGTCACTTCCGTAGGCTTGCGTTGCGCGACCCAGCCATGCCCCGGAAAGCCGCGAGTAAAACATTTTTTATTTTTCCATATATTTGGAAGAATCATCCCAACTGACTAATACTTTTCAGAGGGGTTGAAACCACCAACCAGCTATAGTGTGGGGCCCCCAAACGTTACAAGTTGGTGCATCACCCCATGAAGACTATAGTTATAACATGTTATAACAACCATAAACCATAGTGAAATTGGAGGTATGTTCACCAACTTAGCTATCTTGGGGGCCCCACATTTTTTCAGGAGTTTAGTCAATAAATGATGCAAATGGATGGGATATCATAAGCTTATTATGGGTTTACACTATCAATTAAGTGGGAATCCTTTCTGACCCAACCAGAAGGATAGGTAGTCCTGGGAAACCTGGAGATGGAGTGGTTTGGGTTGCAAAAAACCTGAGGAAAATTCAGGAAACATTGCGGTTTGCATCCCCAACCAAAAGGATAGGTAGTAGAATGTCCTTTGTTTTTTTTGCTAGAAATGGAAAATATCCATAATCTGCCAAAGATTCATTCTTTGTGAACTACCAAAGATGGACCATGTTTGATTGTTCAGTAGTAGTTTCTCTTCATGTTTGATGGTGTGTCCTGCTCAAATAACCATTGGTCTTGCTTCCATCGCCATGTTTCACGACAAGACCACCATGTGTTACCTGTTTTGTTTGGATAAAACCACCATTTTGGCGCCATTTTACATCATCCAAAAGCATCATTTCTCCCCAGTTTTTCCCACATTTCTTCGCCTTCAACGGACCTCCACGGGGCGACGACAGGTGAAGCTGGACGCGAACACCTCGGTGGACTACCCCGGCAGCTTCGCGGCCTACTGCAGGGCCTGGGATAACGGTCGCAACAACGTGAGTTGCAAGGAGGGACAGGAGCCCGGAAAGGCGCCTGGGAAGGGAAAATCTGGGGAAAATCTGGGGATGTCCGAGATGACTATCACTGGTTGGTGGTTTCACACATGAATGTTACCCTCTGGTTATGACTAATATAGCCATGGAAGCCCTGGCCCATAGAAATAGATGGTTTACCGTTCTTAAAAATGGTGATTTTCCATGGCTATGTTAAATAATCAGATGGTATTGTCCATTTCATATATGGGATGTCATCCGAAACCCATTGACTTTCACTCCATCATTTTTCAAGATGGTGAAATTGCACCACCAAGCAGTTATCCATCATAATTGTCCATCATAACTATGGCAAATCACCAGCTATTCAACTGGGTAAATCACTACCAGTTTTCAATGGGGTTATACGACAAAAAAAACAGTTTTTGGATGAATTTTGGGATGAAAAACACCTGGGTTTCACCTTGGATGTGCTTTGGACATGAGCTGGGGGAAAATTGGGTGGGAGAAAAAGCTGGGCGAAATTTAGCCATTAACTATGTTAGCCATTTTACCCATTATAAATTGGGAAAAAAATGGGAAAAAAATCAACCAACTGATTTGGATAAATGGAGATGACTCATATTTGGGGAATATCATGGGACGGACATCTCCGAAAAAAAGCATGGAGAAATCCAGTTTGAAGAATGGGGAGGAAGGATGGGGATTACCCGGCCTGGTAAACGTTTAGATAACGAACTGGAAAGATCCACCATTTTGAATGGATAAATCCACTATGACTCTATGGCCATTTTCAATAGCTATGTTAGTCATTGCCAGAGGGTAGAATAAGGAACATCCCATGACATTGATGGGGTTAAGAACTAGGTAATTCATCCTTTAGATGGGATTAGCCTTGGTCAAGGAAAAGGGAAAACATGTTTTAGCAATTGGGGATGAAACATGTTGATTTAATGAAGTTGACGGCTGAATAGTGAACTAACAATACAAATAGTTGATAAATTTAAGTGGATTGAAGGGTGATAGACGGAAATTGATGTTGTTTACTGGGGATTTACGAACATGGGATTCCACCATTGTCAAAAGACTAACGATGATAAGTTCATGCGGATTCAGTGGCGATCTTGCGGGGATTCTTTTTTTTCAAACCATAGATGTCCTGTTCCTACTGTTTGGTTGATTGATAGCTGGTTGGTGGTTTCAAACATGAATTTTATGTTCCATTTCATATATGGGATGTAATTCTTCCCATTGATTAATATTGTTCAAGATGGTTAAAACCACCAACCAGGAAGTCAATGGGGTTTATTAAGAAGCTTAGTTTGATATTCGACACCACCTTGTATGGGTGTGTCTGTAACGGGAATATCGTGAATTAATGGGATATAGAACCCACAACATAGGATATATCAGGGTGTATGTATATATAACACCTACAAGGATATACCCTTGGATATCTCGGATCAAACGAAGTGAAGTTGATGGATTGGTTGAATCAGGTAAATCAATTTTTAGCAGTCAAACTGACCATTTGTAGTTCAGTGACTGCTTTTTTTGGCCTGAATCAAAAGTTGACTGCCCATTTACATCCATTTGACAGTAATTGCAGTACCACTAAACTGGTTAATCCTGTTCTTAACTTAATTCAGTGAACCAACTAACTCAGTTGAACCCCTATTTAACCTATTAACCTATTAACTATTAACATACGTTAAGATTTTTCAGCCAATATCAACTGCCACTCTTTCCAGAAGCCCATCGTTGAGGACAAGGGCTGGTGCGCAGAGTCCTGGTGCTATGTGGATCCTTGCAACTGCGAGTTGGATGAGCCCGCGACCAAGGTGGGCTTCTGATGGTGATGGAAAACAACCATTTTTAATGGGATTGTAATGATCATTTAGTGTGATTCATGGGGATTTAACCATGCAAAGTGGGGATATATTTCTTTTCTATATAGCATTGGGACTTACCCTCTGGTAAACTAATAGCTACGAAGAATATTCATGTTTAATAGGTAAATAAGTCATCTATAAATTTGGCAATTGTCCACTGCCATTTGAGTTTACCATAGTTTACCGGAAGGTAACTATTAATGGGGTCTTATGTTTTTTTCAATCTCAAAGAAAGGGATTTTGTTGAGAAATGGTAGTGGAGGACTTAATACAATATAGGGTTATTTACCCACCTGGTGGATTGGGGGTTATGAACGAACCAAGAATTGTTCACCTGTATGCTCGCAGGAAAGCGGTTGTTTCAGAAATCTCCGCTGTGTTTTCCGGTGTTTTGCCCACAGAAATCCTTGGAGAATGTTTTGAAGACGTCAGCTCCGATGTCACACTTGCTGGAAGGATTTGTCACCAAACTCTCAAGACAGAGGATCGTTGGGAAGAGCCTTGAAGAACAGCTACAAATTGCTGTCGGAATTTCAGGTGGAGGTGTCCTTAAATTCATGGTGGTTTGGAACATGTGGTATTTTTTCCACATATTGGGAATAGTAATCCCAACTGACGAACTCATATTTTTTAGAGGGTTGACACCACCAACCAGTTAAATTGATGGAATTCCTAGATTCCACCCGAGACCCCACACCTGCTGGAGCGATCTTGTTTTTGCAGGAACTGAACCAAAGAAAAATCACTGGGGAACCCCCAAAAAAAGTTCCATGTTAAAATTTAGGACATTTAGATAGTTTTAGGAGGTGTGATTGGTATTTGTTGGTTGCATTATCAAATTATATCCAAAATGACCACAACGAAATACTGAAATGCAAGTCATCTGTGTCAATTGTGCCCGACCAATTCAAGAAATTCCACCAAACAGTGGATGGTTGCTAAATCCTGCACCAGTTGATAGATGATTTAACCGTTTATCCCATTATTGATAGGGTTTCAACCATCCTTTTAGTGGTGAATGTCGCAACCGTCCACCATAGTTCAGTCCTTCCTCGCTTGACGCGGCAGGTTCCGGATGATGGTGGATACATGCCGCACTCCAGCTACCAAGGACCACTCCATGATCATGCAGTTATGGCCCTTTATCAGTTATAAGTACTAACAAAACCCCATTTATAGAATGTATAATCCCATAGAAATAACCAGTTATAATAAATGGCCATAACTGTGGGGTGTTGCGTTGCGGCCCCCAGTTATGGCAGGTTGTTTGGAGGTTGCCACTGAAGTTTGCACCACTGGTTTTGAGGGGATTTCCCAGCCAGCCATGTTTGAGGAAACCACAGTTATGGCCATTTATTAGTTATAACTGGTTATTTCTATGGGATAAAAAACATTCTATAAATGGGGTTTTGTTAGTACTTATAACTAATAAATGGCCATAACTGTATCTTTTTGTTGTATATTGTTTTTCTGAGTCTTTTGGAACCAAACCCGAAACTGGATGGAAGTGGCGCACATTTCCTACTGTACCTGCTTTCAGCCTTCCCACGAAATCGGTCCGCACCCGAACCACAATTGCCGTTGAGTTCGTCATTTCAGGGTTCATCATGGGGGAAATCCTCAGCAAAAGCAGAGTTTGTTTGCTGTTGGATTTCTGGATATTTTTGGTACATAGTTGATGAATGTTGATGATCATTGTGCCCATAGTTAATGGGAGTTATCAACCAAAATCACCCGACGGGGAACCACCTTAGGTGTGAAACAGTACCTTGTCCGCTCATGTCACCATCGAGATGCTGAAGAGCTCGAAGTGTGCAGATTAGATATCTATCATCCGGAATTTATAGACACTAAGCGACGTTTCCCCATATGCTGATGTTCATGCTATTGTAGGATATAATCCCCTATATATATCTCCATATCCATAAGTTCAGTTGTCAATTCTCCCAGTTGGAGCCTCTGTTTTTGCGCCACGGCCGCCGCCGTTCACCGCTTCAGGACGTGGCATGTGGTATTCCTACAAGACCTGCGGAGGGAAAGACTATTGGATGACCCCAGAGAAGAAGAAGGAACTGCAGGCCGCTGGATCCTCTGGATGCCGTATCCACTTGGAAATGTAGTAATTGATGTGGTGTAAACAATGCCATAACTTTATCACCCATGAGGATGGTGAACATGGCACCTATTTATGGTGATGACTGGGGGGTGGTTTATGAAATTGTTTTAACCACATTAAGTGGTTTTATATAGAGAAATTGAGTTAAGGGGAACCTTGAAAAATTGAGCATAGGTTCAAACTGAGAAGGGGGATATCATCGAGATATCACAGGACCCCAACAAAAGATGCGAGGATTGTTGCTTGACCCATAGCTCTTCATAAGGTGCAGATGACTTCAACAAAATGAGAAGACAAGCAAGAAAGATTGAGGGATACATTATCGGGGATACATGATTCCAGAAGATACATGTGCCAATATCCTGCAAGAATGGGATGCAAGTATGGTTCAACTTGAATTCATTATGTGAGATTATCCCAATATTTGTTTGACAGAAATTGGCAAGAAAGTGTTTCTGAAAGTGTTTCGGATTTCATCGACATCGTGTTTTTGCTAGATAAGCTTTTGATGCAATCTGTAGCAAAACAATGGTTAACACCAAACCACCAAGTGAGTATCTGATAATATCTATACTGGTTGGCGGTTTCAAACATTTGTTTTTTTTCCATAATATATGGGATGTAATCCTTCCCATTGACGAACTCATATTTTTCCAGATGGTTATGGCACCACCAACCAGATAATATATAGGAAAATGGATACATCCACATGGAAAATGGATTGAAACCACCAACCAGGTACATATGTACTTTCTTGACCTTCAGAATTCTATAGCCCCCCGCAGAAAAAAAATACGCCACTTGCAGGCAGTGCCCAAGAATTGCAGCAAGAACGTGGATGAGAAGTATCTTTGGTCCAATTTGTTTCCCATATATGCTCCATGCATGGTATATTTACCTACATTGGTTGATTTTTAGGGCAAATGTTGGTAATATTCCAGCACCATGGAGCATATGGGTTTGGTATTTTTGTTGGTGCCCACTCAAAAAACCCTTCCACGTCATCAAAGGTGGCGAATGAACATCCGAATTCCAATGCAGTTGACTGCGCTGGGAAAATCATCCAACGTTAAGTTGTCGCTGGGATTTTCCAGTCATAGCAATCCCATATGCGAACCATGGTGCTGCATGATTTACCAACATTTGCCGTCCAAAATCACCTAGTTTTGTAGATTTTTATATACCAGCACCATGGTGAGCTAATATGGGAATGAGAAAGAATACATCTCGATATGGAAAATCACCATGCTATCAATGGGACAATCAACTATAAATCACCATGCTATCAATAGCTATGGGAATGACACCAGAGGGTCTTCCAGTTTGGTTTCCACAAAGTGGTGGTTTCGTTCGGAGACGCGCATACATGGTGGTGGATGTGGATAACGAACATGGTACCATAACGGACATACCTCTTTTTTGTTATCTGTCGAAGTGTTGGGTTCACATATATCGAATTAGCGAATTAGGGGGTTATACAAACCAACTTGTATCTCATTTGTTGGCAGAAGAGGTTATTAAAACCAATTAAGACTGCTGGAAATGATGATTAAATCCTCATTGAATCCAGGAAATAAGGAATCAACCATCAGGTGGTGCCCCCCAGTTATGTCGGTTGGTGTCTAACCCCCATCGATTGGTCGAAGATAATATAAATAATTTTACCCTAAAACCTGCTTTTGGGAGTTATAAAAGCTAGCATGCTGAGGCACCCCCTCATACCCATCATTTATCCGTTCTTCAAGTTATAGGTACAGAATCTTCATATGTCATGGTTATAAATGGTGAGGCGTTCGCTTGTGCCGCTTTTTTTTGCGTCGCTTGTGCCGCTTTTTTTTGTGTCGCTTGTGCCGCTTTTTTGTTGGTATCGGCATTTTTCCTGTAAATTACCGTATAAAATGGTGTTTTCACGTGTTGCTTTTTTGACGTCGCTTGTGCCGCTTTTTTCTTGGCGTCGGGTTTTGACCTGTAAATTTGCGTCAAAGTGGCGCTTTTGCGCGTGTTGTTTTTGATGTCGTTTGTGTGGCTTTGTAGTGGCATCGGAATTTTACCTGTAAATTTCCGTATCAAAGTGACGCTTGTGTGCTTGCACGTCGACTGTGTTGCTCTCCCTCTACATCAAGTTCAAGAACATATAAACCCTAAAGGGGTCGTGGCTCTTCTTATATCAAGTGCAACAACATATAAACCCTAAAGGGGTCGTGGCTCTTCTTATATCAAGTGCCACAACATATAAACCCAAAGGGGTCGTGGCTCTTCTTACATCAAGTGCAACAAGATATAAACCCTAAAGGTGTCGTGGCTCTTCTTACATCAAGTGCAACAAGATATAAACCCCAAAGGTGTCGTGGCTCTTCTTACATCAAGTGCAACAAGATATAAACCCCAAAGGTGTCGTGGCTCTTCTTACATCAAGTTCAACAACTGATCATGAAAGAGCAGTGCGTGTAAGTCCTCTACAGCAAGAAAGATGATGAGGTTGCTGTGCGTGTGCAGGCATAGGAACATGAACCTTATTAACTCACCCCACCCCACCGGTAACTGATCATGAAAGAGCTGTGCCTGTCTCTGCTCTACGGGAAGAAAGATGATGAGGTTGCTGTGCCTGTGTGGGCATAGGAACATGAACGTTATCATCCCACCCCACCCCACCCCACCCCCCCCACCCCACGGGTAACTGATCATGAAAGAGCAGTGCGTGTAAGTGCTCTACAGCAAGAAAGATGATGAGGTGGCTGTGCGTCTGTATGCATAGGAACATGAACCTTATTAACTCACCCCACCCCACCGGTAACTGATCATGAAAGAGCTGTGCCTGTCTCTGCTCTACGGGAAGAAAGATGATGAGGTTGCTGTGCCTGTGTGTGCATAGGAACATGAACGTTATCATCCCACCCCACCCCACCCCACCCCACCCCATGTTTTTGTTTCGACCTAATACCTACATAGGTACATGCATGAGTATTGAGCACATTTATATGCGCCCTTCAAGGCTCAAGAGGTATATAGAGTAACCCTGTAGACAAGCACTGACCGGCAACAGGCTGAGAGTAAAAGAGTGCTGTCATTGGGGAAGACGCCTTAGCTGATCTTGAAGTAGACGCTAGGGCCCCTCTTCAAGTGGTAGCGGAGCAGTGATCCCTCATTGAGGGTGAGCTCCAGGTAGAGCCCAAGAAATGGCAAGCCATGGCTATGATGATGATGACTTCGACATTGTCGATGCAAATGAATGGAACCAATATGACTCTTATGCAATGAGAAGAGCACCCCAGCATACACAGATTCATATGACGCAACAGATGACCACAAAGGTTGCTCCAGCCTATGATGGGCGAACCAGCTTCTTTGCTTTTGAGGATGCAATTGATGACTGGTGTGACATTACGGAGTTAGAACCAGAGAAACGTGGTCCAGCATTGCGCAACAGACTGGAAGGAGATGCTCAACAATACAAGAGGCTATTGGATAGAGAATTACTCAGGGATCCCTATGAAGGAGTGGCTTATTTCAAAAGATTTCTACGACCTCATTTCATCAAAGGTGCCCAGAACGTGTTCTTATACCGTTTCATGCAGTTCATGAAGTTCAACAGAGGAACAATGGATCTTCAGAAGTGGATGACTAGATTTCAACTCACTGGCAATAGACTTATTGAGTCTTGGATGGATTTACTTCCAGAAGTAACAGTGACTAGTCCTGAAGCAATCCTGTTTGTTCAACAACGACGTCAAGAACATGAACGAGATCAACAAGAGAGAGCTGAAGTAGCAGCAGCCTCAGGAACACCCCATGTAGCTGTTCCTTGGACAGATGAACTGGCACTAGCGGCATTCAGACAATTTCAGGAAAATCGTAGAGAAGCACAGCGACAAGCATTCCCACTGGGTGAAAATTTGCTAGCATTGATTTTTGTAAGTCTAGCTGACCTGAGTCAAGATCAGAGAAACACACTCACAAGTATCATGACACATCGTGGACGAACCCTCGATCGATACAGTATTCAAGAACTACGTGACCTGTTTTTGGAAATGTTTTGCACTACCAAAACAGCAGTTGACAATCCATTGATGCAACCCTCTGGCATGGCACAGAGAAGATCTTTCCTCGTACTGGATGAAGGTGAATTAGAAGGAACCGACGGCTATTGGGCCGAAGATGAAGAAGACGGCGCAGAAGGATTCCTGGATGCCTTAGAAGATGTTTTCTGGGTTTATGATGACGCCAACTTCACATGGTATCAGAGAAGGTTCCAAGGCAAATACATCAGACGAGGCAAAGGTAAAGGAAAGAGAAAAGGAAAAGGAAAAGGAAGAGGAGGACGAAGGTTCTTCAGATCAAGAAAAGGAAAAGGCCGAGGTAAAGGAAGAAGAAAAGGCCGTGCTCACATGGTGAGTGAAGAAGGTTATGAAGATGAATGGCAAGAAGATGAATGGAATGAAAACTATGACGGCTATTGGGCCGATGATCAAACCTGGAATGAAGGCTATTGGGCCTATGATGATTCATACTACATGGATGAGTATGGATACTTCCAGAAGAAAGGAAAAGGAAAAGGAAAAGGAAAGAAAGGCAAGAAAGGCAAGGATGATGATGGAAAAGGAGGAAAGCCAGGAGATGGAAAAGGCAAGTCGAACTATGTTCAACCTCAGACCACATCAGCTCCTGCCATACAGAATCAACAAACTCAACAAGCTCATTATTCTTCTGCAGCTTCAAGTTCTGGTCATGGTTTCTTTTCATTTGGAACAACTGAACCAGCACGTGTTGATGTTGCAGAGACAGAGCCAGCACGTGTTGATGTTTTGACATCCACGTATGCAGCACAAGATGAACAACGACGTACTCGTCGTGGAGGACAGAACCAACGTGATGCAAGAGCACATCAAAACAGGAGAGAAATGAAGAGATTCCCTGTTCTGGTTGGAGAAGTTGGTGCACTACGACAAGGTGTACAACAACGTCCAGCTGTAGTGCCCAGGCAAGTTGGTCTTCAAGAAGGTGAGGCTTCATGGAAGCCATTGGCAGAAGGCACATCATTGTTTTCACATGGATGCTCTACAGAGATAGAGGAACCATCACAGCAGAGTGCTTTTTCATTTCATACTGTACAAACTGATCTGGCATGTGAGAATGGACTAGCTTTTCACACAGAGAATTCTGCACCACCAACTGTGTGTATTCTGGATCTTGGATGCACAAGAGCTATGGGCTCTCGACGAGCAGTTGAAGCATTTTGCAGATATGTTGACTCACATCCCAACAGT